GTCAGTCTTATGCACACCCCTTCAAGTAAAGTGTAACCGAAAAAAATTAATAGCCATAATATAGACTTTTGTAAATGCTGTGATACTGTGATGCTCAGATACTGTGATTTCCTTCTCACATTGCTGATTTCACCATTAACTCTTCACCTGAACAGTTTATGTTGCTGTATATGGTATCATTGTAATCCTTGACCATCAAAACATAGGGGTAGACATCACCTTTTCTGTGTTATCATGTTTGGTTCTGGAGACATGACACAAAATACATAATTTGGTTATGGCAGAAAGTAAAAGGGTCGCCATGGCAACCAGGAGGCGTTTTTGCGATGGCTCCATTTCTGAAAATATTTAGGGCCACAAACTATACAAGTGTACCAAGTTTCATGCTTTTATGAAGAAGTGAACATTATTTTCACATATCACCTGGACTATGAGAAGAATTCAGTTTGTGAAGCTAAACCACGTCAGTCAGACAGGTGTGTCAAACTAATGATGCAGCCAATTCAGCTCATTCCTTACTGAACAGGAACAGAATGGATCTCATCGAGACGATGTTTTCTCACTCTGGAAAAGCGTTCAGCATGATGGGAGAATCCTGTCAAACACGGATCTGCTCCGGACATGCACAAGCATCAGGTGTGTTACATACACTCATGCAGGTGAGGCGAGAGCTCATTCTGAGGATCATGCAGAGCCATCTTCATTACTCATCAGAGCCGGACTCAGACTAAAAGCACATCTTAAACACACAGACCACAGCAGTACCTGCCAGCGCTGTCTTCCCAGCAGCGTGATACGCCACGATGAACTTCTTCCCGTCTCTGTCCTCGGTCTTGGTCTCCAGGCCGGGATACAGCGTCTTCACAGCTCTGTGCAGAAGAGTGCGCTTCTCCTTCGAATCCTCCTGCACCTGAAAGATTGAGTTTGTTAGCCAGTAGCCATCTTTCCATCACCCTGTTTTTATGCGTATTTTGAAGTATCACATCAGAACCGAGTGATGGAAATGCCAAATTTCAGAAAAATAAATCCCTTAATTTGCGAAAAGGTTTTTACACTCGAAATAGGGTTCATGTGAATAATGGGAGATGGAAGCTCATTTTGTGAATAAATTCCTCCATGTGTGCTATGGGACGGCAGAACCTGACTTGCAGCGGACCGATCTCACTGCACAGCATCTGAAGTGTTGTTATGGTCGTGTCCTCAAAGTATTTCTGTAGAATCGCCTCCAGAACCGTCTTACAAACAGCAGCGAGCGCATTTATTGTGTTTCGCCTGCTCGCTCTGAGGCGCAAGTCATTTATTAAACGAAAATTAATATATTCAGTGGCTTCTCCTATTTTTCTCAGTGGTATTTAGTGA